GATACTATATTCTTTGGATCCCAAATTTGAGCTCATCGTTGTGACGATTGAAGAAACTAAAGACTTGGAAGAAATGACGATCGAACAACTCCAAGGATCATTGCAAGCATACGAAGAGAAGCATAAGAAGTATGGGTTTACTGAGCAACTCCTCAAGCTGCAACTCAAAGATATGCATGAAAGCCAACGCAATGATAGAAACTAACGTGGCTTAGGAAGAGGTAGAGGCCATGGAGGAGGTGGAAGTCGAGGTCGTGGATGAGGCTGGAATTACAACAATAATAATTCCAACAACAACAATGAGAAAGGAAAAGCTCAACACGAGGTCGTGGAAGAATTAACTCAAAGTATGACAAATCTCAAGTTCGATGTTATAATTGTCAGAAGTTTGTGCATTATGCGTCAGAATGTAGAGCTCCCAACAAAAAAATTGAGGAGAAGGCCAACTACGTGGAGGAAAAGACAGATGGAAAAGAAACTCTTCTTCTAGCACGAAAGGAAATTGACAGTGGCCAAGCAAATTCATGGTATCTTGACAATGGTCCAAGCAACCACATGTGTAGAAGAAAAGACATGTTCATAGAGGTAGACGAGTCAGTAAGCGAAATGTTTCGTTTGGAGATGATTATACAATAGCAGTGAAAGGGAAAGGTAACAACATTATCCGTTTGAAAGATGAGAGATATCAATTTATTTCAAATGTCTACTATGAGCCCAATATGAAAAGTAACATCTTAAGTTTAGGGCAACTGGTAGAGAAAGGTTATGATATTCATATGAATAATTATAATCTCTCTATAAAAGATGATAAGAATAACTTCATTGCTAAAGTGTCAATGTCAAAAATATAATGTTCTTGATCAACATACAAAATGATGTTGCAAAGTGCCTGAAAGCTTGCTACAAAGATGCATCATAGCTTTGGCATCTTCGATTTGGGCATCTCAATTTTAAAGGTCTAGAGCTAGTATCTAAGAAGGAGATAGTGAAGGGACTACCTCGCATCAACCATCCTGGCCAGCTTTGTGAAGGGTGTCTAGTTGGGAAACAATTCAGGAAAAGTTTTCCAAAGGAGTCAAAGACAAGAGACAAGAGCCAATAAGCCACTCGAGCTCATTCATACCGATGTGTGTGGACCGATCAAGCCAAGCTCTCTTGGTAATAGTAACTATTTTCTTCTCTTTATTGATGATTTTTCAAGAAAAACCTGGGTATATTTCTTGAAACAGAAGTCAGAAGTTTTCAAGAAGTTCAAAGAAGTAGTGGAGAGAGAAAGTGGTAGAAAGATCAAAGCCATGAGATCCAACCGAGGTGGAGAATTTACTTCCAGGGAGTTTCAAGAGTTCTGTGAAGCAAATGGAATTCGTCGACAATGACAGTTCCTAGACCCCCAACAAAATGGTGTGGCAGAAAGAAAGAACAGAACAATACTCGACATGGCACGAAGCATGCTCAAAAGTAAGAAACTACCCAAGAAATTTTGGGCGGAAGCAGTAGCGTTTGCAGTCTACTTGTCAAACTGATCTCCAACAAGAAGTGTATGGGGAAAGACACCGCAAGAGGCATGAAGTGGAAGAAAGCCTGACATTTCCTACTTGAGAAGCTTTGGAAGTATAGTCCATGTTCATGTACCAGGTGAGAGAAGATTGAAGATTGATGATAAAAGCGAGAGTTTTATCTTCATCGACTATGATGCTAATTCGAAAGGCTACAAGTTGTACAATCCAGACAATAAGAAGATTGTGATCAGTCGAGACGTGGTCTTCAACGAAGAAGGAGAATGGGATTTTAACTTTCATGCAGATGACTTAAATTTTCTTCATCAGTTTGAAGAAGATGAGCAAACAATGAGGGAACAACTAGATGAACCTCAACAAGAGCTTGAAACTCCACCCACTTTACCAACATCAGCCACTGAAAAAGACTCATCACCTTGTCATCGTCAAGTGGGAGTCAAAGTGAAAGAGTTGTACAACGTACAAGAAGCCTTAGAGATCTTTATGAGGTAACTGAACGACAATATAATATTATTATTTTGTCTGTTTGTCGATTGTGAACCAGTGAGCTTTCAAGAAGCAGTACAAGAAAAGAAATGGAGAGATGTGATGGACGAATAAATCAAAGCCATCGAGAAGAATAACACATGGGAACTTACCTCACTTCCCAAGGGACATAAGGCGATAGGTGTTAAATGGGTTTACAAAACAAAGCAAAATGCCAAATGAGAGATTGAAAGGCACAAGGCGAGGCTAGTTGCTAAGGCTATAGTCAAAAGGCTGGAATTGACTATGATGAGGTATTCGCTCATGTTGTTCGATTGGAGACTATAAGACTAATCATTTCTTTGGCAGCTCAAAACAAGTGGAAGATACAGCAAATGGATGTAAAGTATGCCTTCCTAAATGGAGTTCTTGAAGAGGAAGTCTACATTAAGCAATCATCAGGCTATGAATTCAAAGGGCAAGAAGACAAGGTGTTGAAGTTGAAGAAGGCTCTGTACGGGCTAAAACAAGTACCAAGGGCATGGAATAGCTGAATCGACAAGTATTTCCAAGAAAATGGCTTCAACAAATGTCCCTACTAGTACGCTCTATACATCAAGATCAAAGACAGAGATATTTTGATCATGTGCCTCTACGTGGATGATTTGATCTTCAGTGGAAGCAACCCAAGCATGTTTAATGAATTCAAGGATGTGATGATGAAAGAATTCGAGATGACATACATGTGGCATATGGCGTACTACCTTGGCATTGAAGTTAAGCAACAAAAGGATGGAATTTTCATTTCACAGGAAAGTTATGCAAAGGAGATACTGAAGAAGTTCAAGATGGAGAACTGTAAGCCAATAAGCACACCGACAGAATACGGGATCAAGATGTCCAAACATGAAGAAGGCGAAAGTGTAGATCCAACATTCTTCAAAAGTTTGGTGGGAAGTTTATGCTATCTAACTTGCATGAGGCCCGATATTCTTCACACAATTGATTGGTTAGTCGTTACATGGAATCTCCAACAACCACCCATTTTAAAGTCGCAAAGAGAATTCTTCGCTATCTGAAAGGTACAATTGACTTTGGCTTGTTCTATTCAGTTTCTAATGATTACAAGCTTGTTGGATATAGTGATAGTGATTGGAGTGGAGACATAGATAATCGAAGGAGCACTACGGATTCGTATTTTTCATGGGAGATACTATTTTCACATGGATGTCAAAGAAACAACCGATTGTCACATTGTCCATTTGTGAAGCATAATATATTGATTTTACCTCATGCGTTTGTCATGCAATTTGGCTTAGAAATCTATTGAATGAGATAGGTTAGATACAAGAAGAGCCTACCAAGGTTTGCGTCGACAACAAGTCAGCCATTTTCTTAGCAAAGAATCCAATATTCCATGATCGAATAAAGCACATCGATATTCACTACCACTATACAAGGGAGTGTGTTGCAAGAAATGATGTGGAAGTTGAATACGTGAAGTCACGAGATCAAGTTGCCGATATTTTTACCAAGCCACTGACCAGCGAAGACTTCATAAGATTAAGGAACTTACTAGGGGTCATAAGATCAAGTTTAAGGGGGTGTTGGATCATAAACTTGGTCCATTATGAGAGCCTAAACCCAAACCCAAACTAAATTGATGCTATTGCTTACAACAATTAAGTTAGGTGAAGAGTTAGGTGAGAGTTAGGTATTTATCTATTTTTAATGATTTAAATTATTTTATTTGTGTGGTATAAGATTGTTCTTAAGTAGTATAAATACCCCTCCCCATTTTAGTTTAAGCATCAACAAAAATTAAGAGCTTCTAAGTGAGTGAAGAAGCAAAGTCTTATAAGAGTGAGTTGTAGTTCTTGTTTTGTAGTGAGAGTGCTCTTGTAATATTTGTTTGAGTTTCAATAAAAGTTGTTTGTGTGAGTGTTACATTTCCAACATAAACTAACACACCTTGTTGACAGCAAAAGCTATGTCAGATCTAGTAATCATGACATACTGGAGAGCCCCAACAATGCTCCCAAACTCAGTAGCATTCCCAATTGGACTTCCATTATCAAATCAACACTTCTACAACAAGTAAAGAATGTATTTCCTTTTACTTATAATAAGCCACCATCAGAATCATAGTGAACTTCAATGCATAATATTGAAGAACACCAAGATCTTTGACGGCAAAAGCATCTGCCACTTGTTCATAAGATGGTATTTCATTTACACACAACTTCCCAACAACAACTTGTTCACGAACAAAAATTGCTTCCTATATGATTAGTTATGAAACGACCTAACAACCTAATCGTCCAAGACTAATAACAACGGATATCCTTAGTGATGCAGCACAAGCAACCTATTTTGCACTCACTCTATAATATTCTAATAACAACATGCTCCCTATATTTTTTAACCTATAAATATATTACAACATGCTACCCTTCATATACCACATATACACACAATATATCAACATATATCAATAATATACATATGAACTAAGAACCTCGAGAGGTAGCTCAAAGCTTATTAAGCTACGTATATATTCTTTAATAATTTCTACTTAAGAGAAGGAGAAGAGAAATTTTACTACTAATAGGCATTAAACCTAAAAAAGAGGAGGTGTCAATCGAGAAATTTTACTATCTACTCTAAAGATTAATTTTGATATTTTTATAGTAAGATATTGATTTTGATAATTTTACCTACAACACAGAGTATAAACAACACATTTATTGATTTACACCCCATTTAATTAGGATCACTGAAAATATAAGCTTGTAATTAGTCACCAAAATAAAAAACACATTAAAAGTTAGTAGACTAAACATGTTGTTTATCTATTAAAATTCATAAAGAAATGTGCAATACAAGGATCTTTTACACAATTTGACCTTCCGTGTTTAGATCTTATTATAAGTAATAAATCACTAACAGAAAAGAAAAGGATTAAGCAAAACTTTCCACCGCACTTGACTTTATTATATCGGGAGGAAGCAAAAAGACAAAATATTGTTGAACTCAGGGACAATTATGGTTCTGACCAGGTCCCCCAAAGTAAAAAACTGGCAAAGTTCCATAACTTTTCTGGTAATTATAAGCAGAGTAGCAGTAAGCTTCATCGGCCCAAGCGCCCACCCACTCTGGATATTTGAGAGCCAACGAGTAATCCACAATGTTAGGATTTCGTATGAAACATGCATTCCCAAATAAACCCGAAGCAAAGTCTCCACTTCCCATGGCGGTCCTCGTATGAGGCTTTTTCTTCACGTTCGGGCTGTAAACTTGTCCACCCCATTCCACCAATGTCGAACTATGTTTCAAGTAAGACATTAGGGTTGCTGCTGGCCAATACCCTACTGGTATATCGCTCCCATATTTTAGCCACCAATTGCTTGTTTTAGGATCCTGAAAATCAACCATTAAACTGTACTGAATCGAAATGGAGCGATTGAAGTTAAGGTAAGTGAGAAAGTGGTCAATTTTACCATGTATATGCCTACTGTTATTTTATACTGTTGACCAAAGTGACTGGAGATGTGATCAATGGCTCCTCCAAGGGTGATTTCAGTGCCTGTTAGAACGAAGCCACTGCAAGTGAGGTCAAAACAACCTGTTGTTTTGTATGAATCTTTCTGCAAACAAAGACAGATAGTTTTAATGATATATTTAATTGCGGATTTGATTAAAAAAGTTATTTACTTACTGTCCAGTGTGCAAAGAATCTGGTCCTTCTGTCACCATATAAATGTGGGTTTACCTGGCAAAGCATTGAAAGTATTGGATTAAGATTTTTGAATGGAAAAAAAATAGAGGATTTATCCGTATAGTTTAAAGAACTAACCGTCCATCCAGATTCCAGGCTTTCAAAATTATCACCAGGGCCAGCTTTAAGCCAGATCTGAGCCGTGGTGAATTCATCGTTTGCTTCGACTTGTGGATTCCAAACATTGATATCTGCTTTGGCTCCTATGTAATTGTATCCAACTGTAACAAGAACTGCAGCCTGTTTCACAAAAGCTACCAAGTCAAACAATTGGAAAAAAGAGAGAAAAAAAGTGTAATAGCTTTGAGTATGCTTACGGATCTATTCGCCATTGTAGGAAAACTCAGTTTAGTGTTGTTAATAAATGGAGAGTGACCATCTATCTGATTTGTGGTGTTTGATTTAGAGACAACAATTTCTTGTGGTTTTCTTCCGAATCGGTCGATGGAATTCGTTCTCAGCAAGTCCTCCCTTCGAATTCTTCGAATAGGAACAGTTCCTTCTGGACAGCTTCCACTTCGTCGCCATGTTTGAGACACCACTAGCTTCGATGACTCGGCCGTCGTGCTTGGTTTCTCTTCTTTGACATCAAAATTGGGTTTCATCTATACGTTGAATAACATTCGTTACCTACACAATCAATACAAGAAACAACAAGAGCCAAACCGAGTGATGATGGTAAAAAAAAATCACCTGGATAACATGATTCTTCAACGCAGGGTGATCAAAAGCAGGTTGTTTGTAGATATCAACACAGTCGATAATATCTCCATCTTCACTCTGCCATGGCCATTTCAACGTTCAAAAGATGTAATTGTATGGTGTATAATATTTAGTAAAGAAAATACCTGTATGGTCTTCACTGCAGGCTTGTTAAGCTGCTTTAATTTCCGATCAACTTCTTTCAAATTAACTTTTCCAATTGCTCCATCACTCAAATATGACAAAACCAGCATCAAGAAAAGACTGGAAATACTCAGTTTTGTCATTTTAGGCCTTTATCATCTCCTATTACTGTGTGTGTGTATATATATATAATATATAATAAGCTCTAAAAATGTAAATTTATTTTGTGACCTTAGTTAATAATTTTCTCATTAGATTTAATTTCTATTTTCTTTATAATATAGAAATTAAAATAAATTTACTGATGATTTGAAATTTATGTATTCATTTCCTTTTAAAATTGATTTTCTTACCAAAATAAAATTACCTTTATTGTTTTTTTTTACCTATTTCGTCTATTTATGATTGATTTTCAGATTTTCTTAATTTTTATTTGTTTTCTATAAGAATTGTAATCCTTATCGAAATAAACTTGTCTTACCTGACTTTTTTTTAGTTAAATGACTTTCAAGTGTGTATAGTTGCATAAGTCAAGCCTTATGTGATTCAAATCTCAATATTTTTCTTAAAAATATAATATTTTTTTAAAAGTGTGCGTTCGATCGAGTCGAGTCAAATAATTTTGAATTGACGTGTTCTATTTTATTTTTTAAGTCGAGTCGAGTTTATAAAATTCGAGTTGAGTTTTTAATTGAAAGTATTAATAATATTATGATACTATTTAATTCTAATTTAAATAATTTTTTATAAACATATGATACATATATATTTCTTCATTTTTTCATGTAATGTACATATATTACATATAATCGAATGACTCTATTTAAACTTGAAAACCAATCCACCAATTGCTAAAGATTTCAAGTTATTCAAGTTGTATTTTATAGCTCGATTTAAACTTGATATATTTCTCATTGAATCGAGTTTATAAAATTATTACTCGAACTCAATTCGAGTCAAAATTTTTGAGTCGAGTAGAATAAAAAAAATCAGTGGAAACGAGTTTTGATCACCCGTACTCTGCTTGATAAAAAGTACAAAAAATATGAAGTTAACCCAAAGGCCAATAACCAAACTAGTAGTGATAATTCATTCAGTGAAATTTGAAGGTCTCAGATTTATTTGGAGGCAGCCATTGATAGAGCATGTCAAGGACACATATCATTTCTTCCAGGGCCTCCAAAATAAAACTCAGGGTCCACAATGTAATCCGAAACATAATCACTTCGATAACACCAGTACTCATCTTGATAACTCATCATCCAGTCCGGTAACTTCAAGTTGAGTGAGATATCCAGGATTCTCATCCTCTTGAAATAACCCGAATTCCCCATCGCCCAATCCGGAAAACGTCCATTCCCCATGTGTGTTCCTGTATGTGGAGCTCGCTCTAGCTTCGAGCTGAACACCTCTCCACCCCACTCAGCTGCTGCTGCACCATGACACAGTGATCCGAACAGCTCCGGTGGCCAATACCCTATGTTGATTCTTTCCTCGTATCGAATCCATAGATTGTTTGTTTTCGGATCCTGAAAAACAAAATGGGGAATTAAAACACTAGTTCCACTCTCTTTTCATGTATTTTTAGGATCAGTATCGTGCTGACCTTAAATATAAAGAGGTTCATCTGCCATGGAAGCCCTTTGATGACTGAGATTGGAGAAAGTACTGCTCCAAGTGCAATTTCATGGCTGGTCTGAACAAATCCAGGGCAAGTCATATCGAAACACCCGGTTCTATTCGATGCATCGGCCTGGAGAGACAATACTGATTATGTTACTCGAATTCGGGTCTACGGTGAATATGTTCATTAGTCATGGTGTTAAAATGAACTTACTGTCCAATAAGCAAATAATCTTGTCTCCCTGTCTCCATACGTTCTAGGGTTCACCTGAAAGAACTTGAAAACATTATGATTATAACAGACGTTGATTTAAATTGTGGTTTTTTGTCTCGTTTTAAGTTGAGTTGCGTTTATTGCAATTGCAAACATAACTGATATTATTATGGTCATTACAAGTATGACGATCAAGCAATAATGGTTCCCGATAACAAATTTACTACTATATAATAGTCGTTACTCAAATAGCATACCACTATTTAAATCAATGATAACAACTACAAGATCAAATACAAAGGAACTTAGAGGCATTTTGATAAACTAACCGCCCAACCAGCTTGAACGCACTCAAAATCATACCAAGGGCCGCTTATGAGGCTGAGTCTGGTAGTGGAATATTCATCATCAAATTCAACGAAAGGTTGATATACCCTCATATCTCCTTTTATTCCAGCATAGTTATACCCTCCTGTGAGAACTATTGCCTTCTGAAAAATGCAAAATATTTTGCCAATGAAAATTTGTACATTATTCGCCATTTTTAATCTCTTGAATACAATACCGAGTGGTTCTTTTGATGAATGGTTAATGGCGGCTTCGCCGCAGAGCCTTGTTTCGATAACAGCTCTTCGTTGTGATGGCTTCTTCGTACTGGGATTGTTCTTTCGGACAGCTTCCGCTTCTCCTCCATTTTTGTTGAGATGGTACTGTCCTGGAAGGTTGTTCACTTGTCGGGCTTTCCTCGTTTGGGATGTAACTTGGTTCCAACTACATGAAACATACGATCAAAGTGTTTGGAAATAAATCTTACGAAAAAATTGAAATTAATGTATACCTGGATGATGTGATCCTTCAAAGAAGGATGTTCAAGTGAAGGCTGCTTGTAAATGTCTATGCAATCTATAATGTCACCATCTTCACTCTGCATACCAAAAACATACACATGTACTTGTTAATTCATTTGGTTATGAAACTAAATTTATTGTCGTACTCGAATGAAATGCAAATGTTGAAATTCGAACTCTAAATTTTTTAAATAAAAAAATATACTTGTATTGATTTCACTGCATGCCTTGGAGGGTTGCTTGTTTTTTTAGCACCCAAATTATTCTGTTTTGCTGTAGCCAACCCTAACTCAGCCTCCCCTAGCACATTACAAAGCGTTAATCCTAAGAAAATGACCACTCCTTTAAAACCACAAGAATGCATAAAACCTGTTATCATTTTGCTATTGCCTTTCAATTTGATAATGAAAAGCAACTATAAAATATTGTATGTGTTTTTTTTATGTAATCACAAGCAATTTCCTAATGATCAAATCATGTCAAAAAAAAAATCAAGGGATGCTTATATATAGATAATGTTCATCATGATGATCATTTAACACAAAATTTGCATGGTTCACCTACTAATCATTCATTTTTCATTCACTATTTCAAAAGTTTGAATAATATTTCAAATTAATAAAATTGTTAAAATTTCTATGTTAACTTCGTTAATGTAATATCTTAGAATTAAAAAATACTAATAACCATTTAATAAAAAATTACGAAATCATAATGGATATGAATTTAAAAATATAATTTTAATTACATTAAATACTGAGCTTTAACTTTAAATCTAAAAAATAGGTAGGTTAAATTACTAAAAAAACAGTAGAAGGACAAATTTTCAAATTTATGAAGAATATATGGACTTGAAATATATTCTAACCTTTAATTAAACCAAACAATTCCTTACCATAATTAGACATGTTCAAGGATCGGGCTACCCGACTAAATCTAAAGGTTCGTCCAAAATTTAAAAGGATTTAGATAAAAACATGATAAAGTATCTAAATGATTCTCGATTACATGATTTTTTTATTGAATCTCTCGACTATAAAAAATTATAAAATGATCTCTTGATTATTTATAATTATTTTATTGATTTTCTCAATTATTAAAAGTTATAAAATAGTCACACGGGTATTCATATTTTCCAAACTCTGTCTTTCTCTATTAAAAATTTGACGGTCGCCTTAATGGACATTAACTTACTGACTAAGATATGATAAAATATGATCCAATAACCATTTGAGATTTATAGTTATTTGAGATCCTGATATCATATTTTATTATATTTTAGTCAGCATGTGAACATCCAGTCCAGTTGAGATTGCCTCTAATTTTTTAATGAAAAATGATGATTTGGAACATATCAATAGTAAAGGTGATCATTTTATAATTTTTAATAGTCATAAAATTTAAAAAAACAAGCCTTATAATTAGGGGGCTACTTTGTAACTTAATAATAACGGGATTCAACAAAAAAAACCCTATAATCTGAGACCATTTATGCACTTTACCCATAAAAATATTTACCTGAAAAATAAACTTGAAAAATATAAAACTGTGGCTGATTTTGGGCTCTAAAGTTTATAAATTTGAGTAAACTACACCAATGGTCATTAAAGTTTGAGCAAGTTCTGGTTTTCCCTACTAAAGTTTTAAAATAGTAAATTGATCACTAACATTATCAATTTATAACAAATCAATCACTCACCATTAATACATTTAACTAAAAAGACTCAATTTAAGATTTTATACATAATCATTGAATTATAAATATAAAAAAGAAAATATTAAATTTATTTTAATATTATATAAATCAATACTAAATGTATATATAAAATCTATCATAATATTATTTAAATAAAAGGTTAGGTTAAATAGTTTGATGCTTTTAAGTTTTTCATGTGACCTGGGTTCAAATTCCTCCTCAGGTATTTTCATTTTTTTCTACCATTAATTAGTTTATAAAACTACATACATTATGTTGTAAAATACCTTTATTCTTTTATTCTGCATTTCTTCATAATTTAATATTCTTTTAATCAGATAGTGATATGTCTCCAGATATATGGTTGGAATATTAATAATTAAATTAAAAAATTAAATTAAAAAAATATTATTTAACCTAATTGTAATATCCTAATCCGATTCGATCCAAAATTTGGAGGATTAGAATGTCACACGAAATCACCTAAGTTTTTCTATTTTTTTAAATCGTTGAACACATCCATAAATTCAAAACATGATAAAATACCAAGTATATAGATTTATAAAATATGGGAAGCTCCAAACAATAGTCTCCAAAATATATAAGTTTCAAATAGAGTTTACGACTTGACATTACATAAATGTCTATGATAGTACATACCCACTAAAATACTCAAGACGTTATCTGATGGAGGATCTAGTCTGGAAATCCCAAAGTCTAGCGAAAAGCTCCTCAAATTGACACTTAAGTACCTGCATTCAAACGTTGAACTCACAAGCTCAATTTCACAAAATAACACAACTATACTACATGCATCCAACAAATGAGCATGCTACATGCATAATTATGAACTCATGAGTAAATTTATCACACAACTAAAGCAAGCATCATGGTGTAGCACGGGGTCACCATAGCATCACATAATACATACCCTATTTACTTATTGAAGGTATCTTGGGTAGGATCTGAGTCACATAGCATCACATAATACACACCCTATTTGCTTACTGAAGGTACCTTGGGTAAGATCTGGGTCACATAGCATCATCATCTTATAGTACCTTGGGCTAGATCCGAGTCACATAGTATTCAGCTAGTCTACATCCCTCGAGTATTCAAGACATGTCTGGGTCACCTAGCATCAGCACATCGTCCAACTAGCGGTTTGAGTGCCAGAGCACTAGATTGGATATATCCAGATAAATCCCTTACTCGTCTAGACCATCGTTGTACACAAGTAACTCGAGTGTCCTCATTGTTTCTCAAGCATAAAACAATGCATGTCTTATGAAACCTTACCTCATAATGACCTTATGTTATCATAATTAGTTATGTTCTCATCTATAAGCTTATAAAAAGGTTTCTCCTCAAACGAAACCCCTTTCTAGCTCCTTAAAGAAAGCGAGACCTATAACCTCAAACGAGTATCGATACTCAAAGGTGAGTATCGATACTCAAAGTTGAGTATCGATACTTCTTCCTTACAGGGTATCGATATTTTTTTGAGTATTGATTCCAAAATAGCCCACTGTAATTTGACATATCACTCAGTATTGATACCCCCTACATAGCATATCAATACTTCTCTTTAGTGGTATCAATAGAACCTCGAATATCGCTACCAAAATTTTATTCGATGTTTGAAAAAATTATGTGAGTATCGATACTCACACCTAGGGTACCAAAACCCTTCATTATGGTATCGATACTTACCTGGGTATCGATATCAAAATATCCCACTAGAATCTGAACTAACCCTCGAGTATCGATACTAGGATCCTGGGTATCGATTCCCATGAACAATATCAATACCTCAAGAACAGGTATCAATACCCCTCTCAAAATAGCCCTTTGAATTGTCATTTTCAAACGAACAGTATTCATACTGTTCATATAGTACAAATACTCTAAACCCAGAAATCCATGTTTCTATCGAGCAAAACTTTAAAATCACTCCTAAAGTCCTCCCAAGACCCTCTAACAGTGTTGAAGGCTTATATAAGGTTAGAGGATCATGAAATTTCATTTCTTTATACATGGACAATATCAAAAACCCATTTTCATGCTATCCACTCAAATACACCCAATGATTTCATACACAGATACAAGCAACAACACTACACATGTTGGACTACAAGTGGTATAGAAGGGTTAGAAGTATGTTACCTTGCAACTAGGAGCTGGAGAATCAACCTTAAGCTCACCCAAGGATCTCTTTTTCTTTGTATTTTACCTTTAAGTTTTCTCCAACTTCTCTCACTAACCAAAAACAATGAGAAGGATTACCATCTTACTTGAGGGCTTTAACTGAGTCTAAACATGTTATCTAACCTTTAAGGATGAATTAGGAGCCTCTTGAAGCTCCAAAACTCAAACCATTCTAAAAACCACATCATGGCCAACATGGCCAAACTCTAAGATTAAAAGGATTAAAACGAAGATCTAAGGGAGTAAATTGCAGTTCTAACAAAAAGGAATGATAAAACTTTCACTTTGGGCAACTTACAAGAAGAAGAAGAAGAAGAGAGAAAATGAAAAAGACAAGACGATGGTGAAAAAAAAAAGTAAAAGAAAAAAGAGAAGGTCTATCGTTTACATCATCTCTCTTTATGGAAATCAACTTTCAAAATATTTTAGAGGTAAATTACACTCCTAATCCTCCCTCCTTTAGCCCCAATTCAAAATTACCCTTATTTTAATCTTAATTAGAATTAACTCAAGCCCAATTTATCTTATACTTGGACCAAAGCTCCTACAAGTCTCTTGGGTTTACCCAAAGCCTTCTCGGGTTAGCCCGATGCTACTAACCTGGGAATTGAGGCATTACACAAATGGTGACATATGTCACTATCCGATTAGATGACTAAATTTGTTGAATTAAATTAAAATTATGATCAAATTGATATAATTTCAAGTATTTGTTTAATACAAAAGATGACATCTCAGTAAGCTGGCTATATGGTAGTAACCGGGGGAGCATTGTGATCTCAAACAAACA